TATCCTGATAAATCAGTATCCATAACTGCAAAAATAAGTAACAAATTAACTAGCGTACTAGAAAGGTTTTGACTAAAAGCTAATAAATCGGTAAACGCCTCTCTACCATTCCTTAATTCTCAATTAATATTATATTCCTCAATAAACTAACTGATCCTTACAACTTTATTTCAAAGTCAAAAGCTCTTGCTACTTTAATATGCCCACATGGCCTATACAAGTGAGCACTTGACAGATACTACACATTACCTTTCCCATGTCAGAGACTGAAAGAGATAGACCAAGGGGCAGGGAAGAGCAGAATACCAATGTAACAGTGCTAAAGCCAAGCTATAAATTATGTTTTAGTCACTCACGGCTGCATTTTGAAAAAGCTGGCGCAAAGTAGGGCCTATCCTTCCTTTGGAGGGATACGAGTGTCATATAAAAGCATCTTTCTAACTCACTAGCAACAGTGCTGCCCTCCCGCCCCTCACATAACATGCCCAGCAAAAGAAGGACCGCTGGGTTCTAAAGACAATGAACAATTATAAGGTGGTTTTGACTCTAGCAAAGGATTTTCTTCTTTAAAAGATGTGCAAAAGGATTTTTTAAAAAGTAATAAATCCACAACTTCAAATAGGACAAAAAGAGTCCATCAATAATGCCATATTTCTGTATGTTCTTGCAGAGATGTTAATATTTATACATATACATATACTTTTTATTACATAAATGAAAATTTATGATTAAAAATAAATAAGTAAATAAAGACAATGACAAGAAGCTCTGTATTCTGATAATGGGAGGGAGCAGTGAAGATCAGCTTTCTGGGCTCTAAACTATGCCAGACTGCCCTGCTAATCCTCCCCAAATCCCACAGCACTGGAGTGGGGGCAGGGACAGAATAGAAAAGAGTCCAAAGTTGAATCAAGGACAGTTGCTCTGGATTACAGGAGGTCATAACATTCCTATTTAAATGCAGAGGGAGGGGGGAGAGATGAAGGAGTAGGGGCAGGGCATATACAAAAGCCTGTACATTTATAAAAACACAAAAACAAATTTTAGCCTTGATCCTTCAGATGTGCTAACCAACATCTGCCCCCATCCTTGCCAGCCCAGGCTGCATGGAAGGCACAGAGTAGCAGGCATTTTCACACAGTTGAGGTTGGAAAAGATGCTCCTAGAGTGTAAATTACTAATTAGCTCAATTGAAGACAAAGAGAGAAAATACCTGTCACAGAATGCTGTTTACAACATGACATATAATAAAAACAACCCTGAACATTTTAGAAGAGCGCCTTACTTTTCAGACTTCTATTAACATGTAAATGGCAAAGGAACAGTATTATCGTCTTTAAAAACTGCCCATGCCTCAGAAACAATTATGCATGACTGGGAAGAATGCTTTCCAAATTAATTTGTAATTTTCTCATCCCTATGAAAGCAAAGTGTTTTTAATTATTACAATCAGCCTTAGTAAGAAGCTATATTTCATCAGTTTGATGATCACTTAAAATGAGGGGAAAGGAAAAGAAGCTTACAAGTGCTGTATTTTACATTTGTCAGAATACAGCTAATAGTCTTTCACTGAAATCAGACAGGCCTCATTCTGCAGGTGACACTTTTATCAAAAGGACAGAGTACCATTTTAATAATAAAGATGAGGATGAGCTGGAAGGTGGCAGTGGGGATGGGGTCAATTAAATCTCCTTATATGACAACAACTGAAAAGACTCCCAAAATTTAGGTTATTTGGGGGGAGGTATTAGAATGTTACAATATTTACATTCAATCCCTTATCATAAGGCAAACCTATTAGTATGAATTGCAACCCATGTTCTTATACATTTTGCATTTAGATCTTTTCCAACTCCTTGAAGCTACAAAAGGATCTTCAGAATATATCTTAGTCATGGTGTTGACAGCCCTGTGGCTCCTGTTTTCACATAATAATCACCCATACATCATCAATACTTAGCATATCCTGAGGACCCATTCATCTGTGAGCACACCATGCCAGCTCCTAAGGAGGTCCTCAACAAAAGGGTACATGACAGTTTTTGCTGATGTGGGAGGGGCCTACAAACTCATCATTCACAGGTAAAAGAATATTTTCCAGAATAGACTGAAGAGAACAAACCATAACACCACAAAATCCACTCTGATTCTTCTGCTTTACTAAAATCAAATACATATCAATTTGCTGATACACTCAAGACATTCTTCCCGCCTTGACCAGTTTGGCTCAGTGGTTGGAGGGTCAGTCCGTGGACAGAAGAGTCTCAGGTTCAATTCTGGTCAAGGGCACGTACCTCGGTTGCGGTTCAGTCACTGGCCCTAGTCGGGGTCGTGCAGAATTGATGTGTCTCTCACATCAATGTCTTTCTCTCTTCCTCTCTCTTTCTCTCTCTCTCTCCCTCCTTCCCTCCCACGCTGTCTGAAAATAAATGGAAAAATATCCTCGGGTAAGGATTTAAAACAAAAAAGACATTCTTCCCTTCTCTTTCAAAAGTTAAGGTCTTGCCGGGCTGGTATGGCTCAGTGAATTGGATTGAGCATCATCCCATGAACTGAGAATTCCCGGTTCGATTCCTGGTCAGGGCCCAAGCCCAGGTTGCGGGCTCAATCCCCACTAGGGGGCGTGCAGGAGACAGCTGATCAATGTTTCTCTCTCACATCAATGTTTCTCTCCCTTCCTCTCTTTCTAAAAAAATCAATTAAAAAAAACATATTAAAAATAATAATAAAAATTAAGGCCTTCATATCCATTTTTTTTTCAAATTTACTTGTTTAAAAATACTCAAGTGAAATAAAATGATAGAGCAAATGGGGCAAACAAAAATAACTGGCAAATTTAAATAAGGGTATATACAAGTTCCTTGTACCATTTTTGCAACTTTTCTATAAATCTGAAACATTAAAAAAAATCAAAAGTCACCCCAAAAAATCAAGTATTAACAACAGATATTCTCTCATAGGGTTGTTGACATACTTAGCTCATGCTGGGCACTTAGTAAACACTAATTATTAGTTATCTTTTTATTATTTATTTATTTTATTTTTCTTTATTGATTTTAGAGAGGAAAGGAGTGAGAGAGAGAGAAATATCAATGAGAGAGAATATCGGCTGGCCACCTCCTGGGGATTGGGCCCACAACCTGGGCATGTGCCTTGACCAGTGACCTGTTGGTGCATGGATCGACACTCAATCAGCGAGCCACACAGGCTGGGCATTAGTTATCTTTTTAAAAGAATGGTATGGGGGTGAATGGAGCCTAATATATGTGATAGAAAATGATTTGACTTTGAGTGGTGGGCACACAGTACAATATACAAACCTTATAACATAGAAACCCGCACCCGAAACTTATATGACATTAACCAATGTCACCCCAATTAATGTAATAAAAATATTTTTAAATAAAATAATAGAATAAATTAATTGTATCAAATGAACCACTGGTGAGGGATGTTGATCATGGGGGAGGTTATGCTTGTGTTGGGGCAGAGGGTAAATGGGAAATCTCTGTACCTTCCCCTCAATTTTGCTGTGAACCCAAAACTGCACTAAAAAAATAAAGTCTTGCCCTGGCTGGGTGGCTCAGTTGGCTGGAACTTTGTCCCATGCACCAAAAAAACGTTGCAGGTTCGATTCCCAGTCAGGGCACGTATCTAGGTTGCAGGTTCGATCCCTAGTTGGGGCACATACAGGATACAATCAATTAATGTTTCTCTCTCGCATCAATGTTTTGCTCTCTCTTAAAAACATCAATAAACACATCCTTGAAAGAGAAAAATTTTAAAAATAATAAAATAAAGTCTTAATTTTAAAAAAAAATGAGTGCATCAATTTATTTAACCAAATTAAAGCATGCATAAATGTATTTAGTATATTATTTACACAGGCAAACAAACAGAAGATAGTAAAAATTCAGCAAGAGTCTGAAGAGATATTGCTTATGGATATCTGCACTGAAATCCAAGTTCCATTTTTCCTCAGGGCAATAATCTTTCAACTACAAACCTGTAGGATATATAACAAGTACAGGCTCTTTTTCTAGCTAACAAGGTAGACAGGTAACCACTAATCTGCAATGCTGTTAGGCTTTTTTTTTTTATTATTCTTGGGTTGTTTTGTCTTATAAATACAATTTTATAATTAAAAAATTAAGAGCATGTAAGAACCTTGATGTAATCTCTGCATTAGACATACCCCTTATGGCGTTTGTCTCAGGTTCCCCATTGAGAAAGGACCTGAGAAACAGTTAATAATAGAACCACAAGGATAATTTAAGGACTGGCAAACAAGTCACATTAAGGGATTAAAATAAACCAGCACTGTTTAATCTGGAAAAGAGCATGGTAAAGGATAACTTCACAACAGTCAAATAGAGATAATACCAGACAATGAATCAGATCACAGACTTTGCTAGCAAAATGCCAAGGTTCGAATCCTATCCCCACCCACTTGGTAGAAATTTCCTTTGTAGGAAAAAAAAAAAGAGAAAGATTAATTAAATGTATCGTTCAGTTACTACTTGATAAAAGAAATACCCCAAATATTATTTGTACCAAAAATTATCAGTTATCACACCAGTAGCTATAGAAATGTCTGAGTATAACCTTAGGCAAATTACTTAATTTCAAGGAGCCTTTATTTCTTCTCCAGTAACATAGGAATAGGAATAGTGCCGACCTCATAGAACTGAAGTGAGGAGTAAATGAGTTATAATCTGTAATGAGTTTACAACCATATCTGGCACAAAAACACTATATATGGTAGATACTGTTACTAAGTTTATGAAGAATCAGCATCTTAATACTATAGTAAGCAGATATTTTTACTCTCCAATTGAGAATGGGGCAAGAGAACAAATATAAATATAGCATTAAGTGTGTGCTGGTTAGATAGAAGGTAGACTTTCCTTATAGAGAAAATAATTAAATGCTGGAAAAGATTATCTACAAAGGTTGCCACATTACCTCTGATTTATAAAAAAGAGCATACATTTTTATCTACCTGGGATGATTTAGGTGGGATGTTGATTGAAGTTGCAGGATAAACTAGAGGTCTGTTCAAGGTTTTGTTCCATCCAGAGAATCTACGATTAACCAAAAAGACATTTAATTATGTACAACCTACTTATTCAAATTTGAAAATATAAACTTAAAAGTTATTTGCTTAGCAAATAAGATTATAAACAAAATAAAGTTAAACTGAATAGAATTCTACTTGATGAACAAATAAAAACAAAAATTTATCACTGGAGTCCTTACTGATAAAAACATTTTCAGTTTTAGGAATATCAACTGAAAAATAACCATTCACAAAGAATTGATGATTTATCACACTATGGTAGCATACAGAAACAAAAGACAGGACTGAAACAGACTCTCCCTTGGTTGATCTTATAGCTTATATTTTCTTCTTTATCAATATCATTAAGTCTAAAATAATGTATAAGAACACCAAGCATAAAACAATTACATTATTAAAATAGCAATACCATACACAGAATACAACACAGTAAACACATCTGTAAAGAAGGAAATATGCACACACATCTCACAGAAACACACAGCTCATACCAAAGTTATTCTTCAGCTTGAAAGTTAACATTTAAGACTAACCTCCTTTAAACTTAGTAGCGAAAATAGTAATTTTTAAAAAATCCAGTTAACCCTGGCTGGTTTGGCTCAGCAATTAAAGCATTGGCTCTCAGACCAAAGGGTCACAGGTTCGATTCCTGATCAAGGACATGTACCTGAGTTGCAGGCTTAATCCCTGGTCCTGGTTGGGGTCGTGTGGGAGGCAATCAATCGATGTCTCTCTAATCGATGTTTCTCTCTCCCTCCCCTCTCTTCCACGCTATCAAAAAAAAATCAATGGGAAAATATCCTCAAGTGAGAATTAACCCCCCAAAAAAATCCTCTGTTAAACTGCTAAACCAATCTAGTCACCTCGAACACCTGCTTAACAGAATCCAGAATCTGTGAATCCAGTTAGCAGCTGAATTCAGAAAGATTTAAGATTCTAAATTATTCATATATATTAATAATCAATATTTCTGATATCCACAAATCAAAATTGAATCTTTGCTAATTATTACAAATGCCTTCAACCTAATCTTTACTTTTACACAAACACCCACAAAACGTTAGCAACCCAAAATTTGCATGGCTTTGAAAAAAAAAGTATCTTTGTGTATTTGAATGTACACTAATGAAATAACCTCAAATAAGATTCTCAGGAACAGTTTCCATTTGTCTTTAAACAAATTAGATTCTATCCTTTGGCACCATCAAGTATAAGTGTTTGTATACTTAGCTAAACGTAAAAGCTTCAGACTAAAAATCATCAAAACAAATATTCAGTAAGAATAACCTAAATGTTGTCCCAAATTTCTTATCTTCCTTTTAATTTCCAAAAGTGTCTTAAAAATCAAAAACTTCTGGAAAATTAATATTTATATGGTCTTCTTTATTCACACCTACAAAACAGGAGAGGCAGTGGAACTGTCCAAAGCTCCAGCTTGCATTATCTTACAGAAGTTTTTTTCCATGATAAAAATTACTCATAAATTCATTTATTTATGCTAAAAGATAAATCCCTCTCCAAAATCCTCCACTATTCTACAAATCTCCCTTTCTTTATTCCATTTTGCTAAGTGGGTGAGTTACCTACTACAGTATGAAACGTCCCACACAAACCTAAAGGCAGCTCAGGAACTCAAAGCCCTCACAACCCTGATTTAAATCTCTTCCCAAGCAAACTTCCCTGGTTGGTTATTTGCCTTTCTCTGAAACAATTTCTCAGTATTCTCCAGCCACTGAACACAACTAGGCAGAAATCTGGTTGATTATCAAAACAAAAAGATCTTCATCTTTATCTCAGTAACAGTGGGCTCTCCACTGAAAATGAAATGCTGTTGATAAAGCATTCTGCCTGCTCATGCTTTTCAGGTACAACACTGCTCCAACACAGCACTATCACACTACACAGGCACAGCTACCCTGTGGAAAAAAATACACCCTGTTTTCCTAAGATCACAACCCTAGTGAAATGCACAGGTTTTCAGCCTGAGTTGATGCTTTATCATTCAGACAAGAACAAAATAAAATCAAAATGGGTCTCATCTCTTCAAAGTGGACATAAAAGTCAAATTAAAAGCAATGGAAGGTAGAAGCAGATTCAAAATTCCTTGGAGAAAGAGGTTTCTGGAATTTCCTACTTTTATGGACAAAAGGATTCACAGTTTCAACACAGTTCTTTTCTCAACAAAGAATTCCTTTCCTGAACCACCCCCCCCAACCTACTTCTTAGCTTTCCCCCCCCGATCTCTAGGTCTCTTTCACTCACCATGGTTCCTCCTCTTCTGCACCAAAAAGGCTCCCTACACCCGGTCCTTTACTACAGCATCCGTGCCACCCATGCAGACCTTCTGGAGTATCTTCCCACAACATAGACATTTAATTCCCACTCCTGTGCATTATATACCCAAGTTCTGCATCCATCAGGATTCCTCCGGTTTCCCTTAACCCTGTTCTCTTCCCCTACTCATTTCATCCTTTAAATCCTGGGGCGCGACTCTGCCTTGCTCCTCTTACCCTCCGCTTTTAGCCCTGTTTCTTCACCTCCCAGTTTACACCCCAATCTCTCATCTCTATGTCCTTTCACCCTTCCAGTAGGCTCTCATTCCTAACTCCACCTGGTGCTAGTCCAGTGTTTCATTCATCTTCTCTCACTTTAAAGAATTCACATCCATTGCTCACCACTAACCCATACCTTCTCAGAACCTCGCAGCTCCCACCCCACCGCCGGTCCTGGTCCTTCAGCTCATCTCACTCTGTACTAGTTCACACCCTTGTCACGTCTGGCTCTTAATCACTTTCTCCTCTGCTCCCAACTATTACCCCCGCTCTGCCCCTCCTGGCCGCCCACTTGCAACTCTTACCCCAGTACCCTCACCCACTACCAGCCCCTGCAAAGCCTCCCCCTTCAAACCCTTGCTCTTACACCTAGCCCCGGGATCCCTCTGCCAAGCCTTGGTCCTCCTAACCTCATTCCCTGCCCGGCTTCCTTAACACCCACCCTGGTTTTTCCCTCGTTCCTACCTCCCGGGCTGGCTTTTTCTCCTGCCTTCTAACCCTTTCTCCCCTTAATCCTCATCTCATTATTAGATCCGTTCCCCGCAACCGCTCCCAAGCTTTCTTTCCCCTCTTCTCCTCAAGGCTTGTACCCCAAACCCAGTCGTCGCCCACCCCGCCAAAATCCAGTGCCCGCGCGCCCGGACTGCCGGCTCTCGCCTCCGCCGGTCCCCGCCCCCCGCCCCGGGCGCCCCCAGCCCGCCGGCGCCGCGGTCCCGCCCCCTGCCGCCGCTCCTCCCGCCCGCGAGGCGCGCGCCGCCTTTGTCGCCCCTCACCCGGTGTGTGGATTTGGCTTCTTTAAAGGGGAGGGCCAGTGTGCCGGAGACTGCTGTCCCCGCCTCCGAGTCTTAGAATGGGCTCCCTGGCCGCCCAGGTCCCGGTCCCCCTAACCCCCTGTAGCTACCCCCCTTGGCTACCTCCCACCTCCTCCACCCCCTCCCTCGACCCCCCCTCTATTTACCGCCATCATCAGCACGCGCGAGCTGTCACCAGGGCGCGAGACAACCGAACTCGGCCCCGCCCCCTGTCCGCCCATTGGCTGGCACGCCGGAGCCCCGCCCTCGGGCTCCGCATTGCGCCAACGGCGCAGCGCTGGGCCCCGACCCCAGTATAGACGTCCGCTCCCAGGGTTCGCGCCGCGGGCGCAAAGTTTAGGGTCAGCCACAAACGCAAGGCCAACTTGAGCCTAGCGTACGGGGCGGCGGCGTAGAGGGACGCTGTGAATTGCGGGTCGAAGTTTGGTTGAAGCACAGGAGGGTAAATAAGAAGGTTTCCAGACAAAGAGACTCCTAAGGTACCGAGTCTTCTGTCTGTCCCTCCTTCTTAAAGGGCCAGAGACTCTCCCGAGCCCATCTCCGCCCCCTTCTCCCCATCCCTTCAGGCGCGGAACAGGAAAGGAATTCTACATCAGTTCCCCGCACTCTTTTTGGAGCTCCTTTAAGATCTCCCACCACTGCCAAGGGGACAAACTTTTCTCACTATCCCGTCTATGTTTTCATTTTCTTTTGTTGAAAGACTCAGTTTTAACTGGGTCGTTCGTTCGGAAAGAAGCAGCCTCTGAGCAGTGGGATTTCCTGAGGCAGCTCCTTTGCCAAAAGTTACTATTGGCTTCCAGACGGGTGAGCACGTGTCTGCCTTTTGCCACTGATGACCCGGGATTCAGCTGTTTTATGGAAACCCCGCCAAGGAAGTTTGACTCGGTAAACCGAAGACGTTCTGGAGATCATGGGGATGGAGACCATAGGGAAACAGAACGGCGGCTATTTCTACAAGCCTTCTCTGCCTCAGGTTTCCTTCTTGAGCAGCCTGTTGGGTGCATGTCCTGACATTACTTGCGTGGGCTGCCGTTACCCCAAATAAGACCAACACTGTTACATCACCCAACACATGGCTAAAGCAGGTAGGTAAAGGCTTATATTTAAATATAAAGAAAAGGAAAAAAATAAACATGTGTTATCACCTACACTGGCACAAGGCTACACACTTGTAAATATGAACTAGAGAAGCACAAAAGCCAAAGAATAAAATACGAAGGGGGAAATAGCAGGTGCATGTCTAAGCACGAAACTTCAATGCCTGGAGCCAAGCACAATTAGGCGTAAAAACATTTCCAAAGGTAATTAACCTGGGCATTTTTAAGAGATTTGATGGAAAGAGAGGACCTGGTCATTGATTTGGTGAGGATTTGTCATGTGGTTCAAGAGTTCAAAGTTAAGACGAATGGATTAAAAAGCTGTGGTACATATACACAATGGAGTACTACGCAGCGGTAAGAAAGAAAGATCTCTTATCCTTTGAGACTACATGGAGGGACCTGGAAAGTATCATCCTAAGTGAAACAAGCCAAAGAGAAAGACAAATTTCATATGATCTCACTGATTTCTGGAATATAATGAACATAACAGTTTGAGGACAATCCCCTAAGGAGTGGGGAGCTGAGAGAGGGATGAACAAC